TCATGATGCTAGCGCTCATCAAAAAGCATTGGCTCCACACATTAAACAAGAATATTATTAGCAGGTTTGAAAGGGGTTTTATAAGAGGAAATTCTTAGTCTTCAGAAGTGAGTCTCATGTACAAATTGTTTGTTACTTTCTGGTTCTCCTTTCATCATGCCTTGTGTGTTATGATCTAAGGCTTGAACCCTGCTCGATTACAGCAGTCACTGAAAAAATGGTGCAGAAACCATCTTCAATCAGAAATGGCATGAATTTCACAAATTAAAACTCACACATGTTATTAAATATTAAGTTTTAACATTAACATTTGCATGGACACAAATCAGCCCCTTAGCCAAGGGTGGGAGGGAGGGTCTTCAGGTGTCAGGTGATTCAAAAGAATTAATTTTATCTAAATCTATAAATTTTTAAATGTACTATTTTACAAGAGAGACTACAAAAATAGACTCTATTAATACAACTATCAATAGACTACAGTTTCTAATGTAAAACTTTAACAGATTAATTTTTACTAATGATTTATGATGGATTTGTATTTTACATTTTTTTTTTGTTTTTATATTTCTTTTTTTCTAAATAATTAGAAAATGGTTTTGGTATATTAAAAGTTGTGGTTATGACCACCCAATTAGGCATGGGAGAATAACCATTTTCAAGGAATATTGCGGTTTGAATAAGGGTCAAGGTTTGGAAATGTCAAGGTTTGAGAATAGCTAAAATTCTCTGCTGTATCGTTCCTTGGGTATGTGTAAGATTTTATATTTTTTTATTACTATGTTTTGTTTGTTTTTAGGAGAACAGTATTTCCAGGAGAAAAGATCTCCAGAGATTGTAAAGTTTTTATTTGTAAAGAAATCTTTATTTTAAAAACTAATGAAGACAATGATTGATTTGAATTCTTTAGCCTGATATATTTACTGTTACAAAATATTATAAATGCTTCTCAAAATAAAATATATTGTGTTCAAGGAGGACAAAAGGTTTTGTTTTTTTACCCAGACATTTAAAAGCATATATTACAGCAATCACAATACTGTGAAACCGTGATATTTTTATCCAAGGACATTGCCAGAAGCTTATACACCCACAAGCTAATCCAGAAAGATATAGTGCTTAAAATGTCAATAACATCTAAACCTCAAATGAAAAGAAAAGTAGGTAGTGCTGTCGCCTCACAGCAAGAAGGTCACTGGGTCAAACCTCGGCTCAGTTGGCGTTTCTGTGTGGAGTTTGCATGTTCTCCCTGTGTTCGCGTGGGTTTCCTCCGGATGCTCCGGTTTCCCCCACAGTCCAAAGACGGTACAGGTGAATTGGGTAGGCTAAATGTTCCATAGTGTATGAGTGTGTGTGTGTAGGTGGTTGATTCCCAGAGATGGGTTGCGGCTGAAAGGGCATCCGCTGCGTAAAAACATGCTGGATAAGGTGGCGGTTCATTCTGCTGTGGAATTAATAAAGGATTAATAAAAGGCGAAGCAGATAAGAAAATGAATGAATGAATGAATGAATTTAAAGAAAATGAAGAGAATACCTTCAAAAAAGTCAACTTTTTGAGAAAAAAAGAACCACTCCTTTCACCTACGGGCCTGCAAATACTCATCGAATACTCATACTTTTAGACTAGATGCTATTATTCAACTTCTCCATGTCTTGTAATCCAAGATACACTCTCAGAAATAAAAATACGGAGCTGTCACGTACCCAAATGTACCTAAAAAGTACCTTTGAGGTACCATTATGGACCTTTCAGGTTCAAATATGTGCCTTTTGAAAAGGTAGTGCCCCAGTGACAGCTCCAGTACCTTTATTTCTGAGAGTGTATAAAGGCAGGGATCTACTTTAATCCTACTCACCAGGCAAAGTGCCAGAGACTGTTTCACACTGAGAATGTTTACTGGCAGTGCCAAACAAGCCCACTTTCACAACAGACACACACGCCACCTGCTTTTGACATTTAAACTTCAGACCACAAACACCAACTCTTCAGTGACTCATCAGCTCAATGAAATCCACGAAAGCAGATATGATTGCTCTTTTAGCCTCTTAAAATACAGACAAGAAAACATTTCCACAAGCATTGTTGGTTTATAGGTGATGGTTCAAGAACAAAAGCTGTAACACTGATCTGTACTAAAGGTGGCGACCAAATGCAAATGCAGCTACTCAGAAAGTGGGAAAGCCCTGCTGCAACTCAACAACTCTTGTGTCATGTATATTAGCAAAACTGCAGCATTTATCTCTTGATCTGTATCACTTCATTGACCACATGGTTTGACTCTGCACAGTTTAAATGTTTATTAAGCCTCCATGGGTGGAAAGAGTCCTGTAAAAATCAGACGTATATGTAACAGTGCCATTACTTGTTTAAAAACGCAGCTTAAGTAGAGTAAAAATGTCTTGTAAATATGGCTCAAAGTATAAGAAAAAAGTAGCCCATTGGATAGTACTCAGTGAGTATTATGCAGTGAAAGGCTTTTGCGTGTACATGCAATTTGTGTAGGGATGTGTAAATGTAACATTCTGTAATGCATTGATATAGTCTAAACAGACTCTAAGTCACTGCATGTAAAGATTTAAGACGTCTTCCTCGACACTTTTAATGATTCCAGATGGTTTGCTGAATTTATAAATCATCCATGTGTTGCGGTAGTTCACTATGATGCGCTTTATTTTCCATGTGTGATTTGATTGGACAGGAATCACAGGACTCATTTTTGGACTACTTGAGCAATCACCATAGACAATAAAAAATAAAGTAGTGGAGAAAAATACAGATACAGCGCTAAAAATGTACTCAGTAGGGAAAGTAAAAGTAGACATTTTTAAAACTACGTAGTAAATTACAATTCCTGAGAAAAACTACTTAATTACAGTCATTTGAGTATTTGTACTTTGTTACTTTACACCAATGTGGGCTTAACAGTCACACCTTCACAAATGGTTCTTTAAAATTCTTATAAATTAAGCTGCTTTTCATCATCTTTCAGAAATTTTTGCTTAAAGATTTATGAGGAAAAACAAAAAGAGCTGTATAGCACCACTGTTCAAACTTTTGTGTTTGTGTATATTGGTTGGTCACATATAATCAAATTTTATTGTACAGGTCATCATTTTAAATAGGATACATTTTTTTGGCCAACATTTTTTTTTGACTCCTAAAAACACGGCCCTGCTTTTGTGGTGTCCTTATAAGGATAATTTGTCCAAAAATAAAACTTCTCACATTATTTACTCAGCCTTCCCTTTTCACAAACCTAAGTTTCTTTCTTCTGTTGAACAAAAGAGGATATTTTGAAAACTTCTGGAAACTGGAAACCATTGAGTTCCATAGTATTTGTATTTCTATAGATGTCAATGTTTAATAGTTTCCAATATACTTCAAAATATCTTTTTTTTTTTGTCTTCAAGAGAAAAAAAGAACCAATAAGGTTTCACTAATTGAGTGTATTTTTTTCTTTCGGGGTGAAGTATCCCTTTAACAGATTTGATTTTTATGGCGAAAGTTACCATGGCAGCACACACATTCGTGGCCTTGTTTTTCTTGTTGAACAGGGAAAGGTAAATCTAACCGTTAATCACAGTCTGAGAATCAACATTCATAATGTGAACATAAATAGCTTATAAAATACTGTGTTATTAACAGCGTTGTTTACAAAAAAGTTAATTTACTTTCCATCTGGCCATCTAAGATAGGACATTTTTTCTGAAGAACATCTCTGTGAAATATAAATATTATGTTCATCTGTGAAAATGTACAAGGACGCATGGCCATTATTACTTTTCTTTTATTCTTGATATATTGCTAACCTCAGACTTGCTTTTTGGCTCACCAAAAACCACACTTTTAACTAAAACTCTTCTTCAACATTCTACTTGAATAAAAAATTTAAATTAACACCCATAACAGGTACAGTGGGCTGCAGGGTGGCGCAGTGGGTAGCACGGGTCAGTTGCCATTTCAGTGCAAAGTTTGTAGGTTCTCCCCATGTTCGAGTGGGTTTCCTCTATGCTCCGGTTTACTTCACAAGTACAAAGACATGCAGTACAGGTGAACTGGGTAGGCTAAATTTTCTGTAGTGAATAAGTGTGTATGGGTGTATCCCGGTGATGGGTTGCAGCTGGAAGGGCAACCACTACGTAAAACATGTACTGGACAAGTTTTTGTCTCTTTCTGCTGTGGCAACCCCAGATTAATAAAGGGACTAAGCTAAAAAGAAAATGAATGAATCTGTTACGGCCTAAGGCTGAATAATTAACCAGTGCTTTTTAATTTATGCCTAATTAACCCTTTGATTCAGGCACATCTGTACAAGTTTTCATTTACAAAGGCTGCCTTTACCTCTTGCAACCTTTCAACACAAGAAAAGACTATTCACAAAGAAATATGTTGACTATGAAATATTGCTTGAACCGAGCTTAAGCAGCAAAAAATATTTGTAACTTTACTGCACATTATTGTCTGAAGCCAGGTAGAATATACAGACTACACTGCACTGTTAAGAAGGCTTGTTTTACATTGTAAATTATTCAATAATATGGCCTTTGAGAGACAGAAAGGTTTGTGGGGGTGAATCAGTGACGAATGTAAATGGGAATATAGAGCTAGTGATCCATCATCTCTGTGGAAACAGCACAGTGGATTTTCCGAGGTGAGCGTGTTGCTTGGCGATGAAGCTTTGGGGGAAGAAAACACTTTCTGCAGCAGATGCTCACTAGAAAAGCGAACACATTTTGAACTGATAGCGGAAATAGATAAACACAGGCATTTTAAGATGATCTGGACACTTTGTTAATAATAATGTTGTGTAAATGACAAGCTCACACTAAAAGTACAATCCTCACACATTTTTCTTGTTCTTATACTGAATGTGAAACACTGAAACAAAATGAGATTTGATGAGAGCTGTAGAACAGCTGAAATATGAGCTCTCTACGAGAGTTGCCAAAGGCGTTTTCCTTGCTCCAAATCCAACCTAAAAGAAAGGCACGTGACAAACGAGTTCAAATGCAATTAGTTTTTAATATATTTATTTACAGGGTAAATATTACACATTTATGTTGTTACCATTTGTCAAACAATAACAAAAGGGGAAAATACACACTTAAAGTGGTCGAGGCATAATAAATAACCATTAATCCTGCGTTTTCTTGGGTTCAGCATACACTTGGTTACTTGCTAAATAATATGGCTCACCGACAACTAAATAAACAAACGTTGGAATAGATCAGCTGAATAATGTCACCAGTCCTAATTTGCTCTTTTAGTGAACCTCCAATGAACAGCTTGATATTTTAAGAAATGACCGGAAGGAACATTTAATACATTCTATAAAACTGTCATTAAAATTGAGAGAATCCTACACCACTAATGATTACTACAGTTCTCTCTCATGTCAAGTCTTTTTCCCCTCATACTCAGACCAAGTGTCTGAAATCCCACCAATCCGAAGCAGCGGCGCCACTGAGCTTCGGCCACACAGGCAGTGGGGTTTAAGCTTTTCGGGTCAGAGTTTCCCCACTGGCTTTTACACAGACATATGGGACACCCACGGAAATAAGAGTCCTGAGATTCAGCAGCAAATGTTTCCAACGTCTGCTACAGGATGAGTCTTTGGCCCAGAATTTTGCGGTTAATCTCAGCCAAGGCCACCGAAAACACAAAAGCCTTCTCATCTGAAAGGTTGGCATAAATGTCAACCTCCCTTTCCTGTTTTTCTGTGAAAGAAACCAAAAAAAAAAAATGCTTAAAAAAAAACAAAGATGGCCAGACTGTTATCAACATAGAACTGAACCAATTTTGTACACCAAGCATAAATCAACCACCAAAAGCTCAGAGCGTCATAATAATGTAATTTATTTCAAAGTCTTTATTAAATAAATAAATGAAAGGTGCAGTTGATCAGCAGTGGAAGAGCTAATAATGCACAGACGCTTCCAACCCAGCAATGATTTATTCAGCAGAGAGTAAAGAAAGAAGCGTGTGTGTAAATCATTAATCCACAATATGAAAGCCGTACTCTTGGAAACAGTACAATGAACTGCATGCCTGCTCGATGACTGCTGAATATTTCCATTGTCCACATGGACATAGAGATCTGGCTTTATCTAAAGCAAACTGGGGTCGCTTGACAGTCACAGAGGGTTCCAGTTAGTATGAGAAACTGTTTGGTTTACAGCTAGGTGTGGCTGGGAGTGAAGAGAGATTCAGTGGGATCAGTGGAGACATGCCAAAAAAAGAGGCTTTTATTCTCAATGCAAATGCAAATAAACAGGAATCTCAAGGGGGAGCGTGAAATCAAAGAGGGGCACGATGGGAGTAAAGGTCAGATTGAGTAGTGGGATGTCAGGTAGATCTTGGTTACTCCAGGCCAAACAGGAGAACGTTCAAATCCATCAAAATATCTCACTTTCTAAATGTAGCCGAGTATTTCAACTATTTCTCTGAAATATTTCTTAACCTTTTAAATATTAAAATTGCTCTGATTATAGTTTTTGTTTGTTTTGCATTTTAACTAAGTGAGGTGAAGAAAGAGCAAGCAGAAAACCTCTTGACTGACTCAAATGATGACAAAATGGTGACAGTAACCAAACATAAGATTTCACACTGATGCAAATGCAGGTAAGAAAACTGCAATCAAAGTATTTTCAAGAACACCTCACAGCACATCAATGAAAACTATTTCATTAACTGGACATAGGACAACACCCTGACAAAAACACTTTTGTCAACCTTTTTAGAATGTGTTTATATTTACACACATTGAAGGGATAGTTCTATAAAACTGAATATTCTGTCGTTATTTACTCTTCCTTAACTTGTCTCAAACTGTCTGGGTTTATTTCTTCTGATGAACACAAAGGAAGTGGTTGTAAAAACCTGTAACCCTATATTTGTTTTTTCTACTATGGATGTCAAGAGTTACAGATTTCCAGCTTTCTATAAGTTATTTTCTTTTATGTTCAACAGAAGAAAGAAACTCAAAGATTCATTACCACTCGATAAGGAGTAAATGTTTATTTTTGGCTAGACTCTCCCTTTAGTTTATTTATTTAATGCCACATCAGCAACGTATGGCTATTTCATGGCAAAACGGATATACATACAAATATGACATAATAAAAACAAATTCGTATTACAGTAAAAAGTTACTTAGTCAAATATATAAAATATAGATAGTTAAAATTCACACAAAAATATATTTAAAGTTAAATATGATTTTTCAATTCAATTTTTGATAAATAATTTAAAATTCTTCCTGGTGGTGCCTTTTTTAAAATATCCATCAAAGTACTCTCCTTATAAACACTTTGACTAATGGCATTCAAACTTTCACATTCCAGCAAAATATGTTTGATGGTAAGAGCAGCTTGGCAGTGATTACATTTAGGTGATGCTTCATTATTCAGTAAATACAAATGAGTCAACCTAGAATGTCCAATTTGACATCTAGTGTAGACAGTCTGATCATGCCTGGTCTCAAAATTATAATTTGCAAAGTGTCTTTTATTTATTTTCGGGTTTATTTCATGTAATTTAGTATTTATGCAGTTGTCCCATTCCCTTTGCCATGTTTCGTTTATATTCAAATTAATTGTTTTAGGTCCTCAGGAGGAATTAAACATTATGTCACTTTAAGGAGATTGAACATCCCTTTAAAAAACATAAAGAGATTTTCAAAATGTTGTTGGTTTCATTGACATTGTTTAGCACCACTGTAATAGAATAAACTGAAAAACGACCGGCATACAATATAAAAGAAACCACCCAGGAATTCGTACTGCTCATGTTTATAGGTACCATAATGACAGACAGATGTGAGTCAATTACCTTTTTCTTCTTCTTGTTTCTTTAACCCAACAGTTTTGGGTCTTCCTCGCCCTCTGCGGATTGGATCTGAATGACTGTTAGTTCGGGATCTTCTCCTATTTTCCATATCACTGGTGGATGTTAAGTTGATCTTCTCTTTTCGAATCCTTTCCGTCCGTCTTCTCTTGTCTTCTAATTTGTCTGAAATGTAATTGAAGGTTAAGTTATAAATATAAATATTATTTTAATATATAAATATATAATATAATATATAATATAATATAATATATATAAATATTATTTTTAATATTTCTGCAGAGAAAAAATTCTGCAGATGTATGTGGAATGACTTTGAAATAAAAACAAAAATAAAAAGTAATACCTTTTTAACTTATATTTAATGTTTACAATGCAAATCCAATTAGATCCAATTATTTGGTAAACAAAGCAAGTCTCTCATATAATATATCTACTGAAAGACAGAAAATATTACTTTACAAACTGTATTTTAGATAAATCAAATAAACATTTTCATATTAGTTAATAATATTACTAAAATGTATTTAAAAACTGAATAATTATAAATTTACACTTATTTACACAATTAAAATAATTAGACTCGGGCTAAAAATCAGCGGATTTCTACATATACAGATTTCGTGTGGGCCTAGTTATAAGTAACTGGGGTTAGAGCAATCACATTCTACACACACAAAGTAGATTGTTTTAACAAACAGCAGCTCGCTTGTTTTTTTAAGCCCATCCCCCAACATTAATTGGCAGACTTTAAAGTCAAAAGTGAGTGTCAATCCACATGTGAATCATCAAATGCTGTAAAAAAACAAAACCATACGCAGTGCTGTAATCAGAGAATTAAGAGCTCGTTACTAAAGGAAGTAGGCCTGCGCCTCTCTGAGCGAGTTTATTTATAGGGCTCTACGGTCTCCAGTAAACGTCATTAGTAACACACTCTAGCAAGCATGTGAAGAGAGGAGAGCTGAGCTGAGCGACGATTTCAAAATGACTGCACCAGAATAATAATAATACACTGAAAGCTTTTCAAGGATCAAAATGCATACATGGGGAATTTAGCATTTAATATGTGTTTATATTTTAATCAAAGACAAATTTCCAGTGGCAGATTAAATGACATCTTAATTAAATAAACATATAAACTTGTATTTTTATATACAAGATCTTGAGAACTTTTTAAATGTTATATTCATGAAATGTTAAATTATGGATGAAAAAAATCTACTACTAATGTAACAGTTAATATATTTTTTTGTAAAAATAACATTTATTTTAACCTCTAATTTTCCAAATATATAAAATGATTAGCAATCAGAAAATGTATAACGTGATATTAAATGATTAAAACCTCTTGCTGACGTGGCAATTGGGTTTAAAACTCTACTAGTTAAGAGGTAAGCGGTAAAACATTGATTTAAATAGCAATTTATAATTGGGGGATTTTGCACTGTGATCCTTCAAATGGAGAATTCTAATATGTGTTATTCACTTATTCCTGTTGTTAATATGCCTGACAACATTTTTATATGTATACCTTTGTTATGCTTAATGCCAATTCTTTTGTATATCATGGTCAATTATGAAAATCAAAAATATAAATATATTTTTTTACTCACAACAAAAAATTTCAAACAGGGTGCATCGATGGAAAAACCCTAATCAAATGACATTTACTTGTTTTGTTTTTGAGCTTGAAGATCATTTTGACCTACATAATATATACATGTGGTATCGCAATTGATATTCATGAAAGCCGCATATTAAAATCAGACACTAATTATGCTACACTATAATAACACATTTTTACATGTCAAAAATAAAAACATGTCACTTGTATTAATTTATATCAAGCACTTGAATAATTTAACTTTCTTGGTGTAACTCAATTCTGTAAATTGCTGACGACAACCCATTCTGTCATCAACAGACATTTTATTTACACAGTCAAGTGTTTCTATGGAAGCCATTTAATTTGAAACAGTGATAAGATCTTTTTTTCTGCTCCCTCCCTTTACAGGCCTGCTATATGACTGCACATTAACTCAGGAATCCAGGCCCCGTCAATAACCTGCACTAACAAGAAGAGCTCTGTTCTGCAGCTAATGAACACTGCGCAACTCCTTCACAATTATGACAAAATCACCAGTAAATCCAGGTGGCCTTACATCTGAATTTCAGATAACATTAAAATATGAGAAGTAAAGGGAAAAAAGTACATTTATTTTCAATGTCACAATAAAAGTTTCAAACAAATATGATGTAGCAATTTAACCTATTATGCATTTTAAATAAATTTTACTCATTATTAATTGCTATTTTATTTCTAAACAATTAAATTAAAGCAAACTGATTTTCATTAATGCTGTGAATTCAATCATTCAGTGTTTTTACTTTCTTCTTTCGGTCCCCACATTTTGTAACAAATGTATGAAACTATGAAAGGACTGAAATCAATGACATCAAATGAGCATATTTTTAACCATTATGCATGAGGTAAAATTTTCTTTTATCTTCAGTTTTCACTACACAATTATCAAGTTTGGTTTGTTTCAAATAATTGTTATTGGATCAAATCTACAAGCATAAATAATTATTAAATGTCTACTCTTTATCACAGGCTTTCATTTCATACCGCTCGAAAATTACAGTTCCCTTACAAAAGAGAAAACAAAGCAAGGACAGGCAGGGCAGTCTAAAAAAAAGTCTGTCCCATTTCAGATTGAGCACATTATTCTTAGCAGAGTGAAGGATAAGCCTTGTATAAATATACCGCTGCTAAAACAGAAACCTGATGTTACAAATGAAAACACAATTCTCTCAGAAAAACAACTATCAGCGTTAATTTAACATAGGAAGATTCTTACACCATCTGAACATTAACAAATTAATTTGTTAGATGACATGCAGAAAGCTCTCAATTATTTATAGATAAAAACTATAAGTGTGCAAATCAACGTAAACATCACACTGCTTAAACTCTCAATGAACATTTGTGCAAAACATTCCAGTCATAACTCACTGTAACAATCACAGACTGACTGCGCTGGCAAAAATTGCAATGCACAAGCCAGCTAAGCTTTAAACAATAAAAATTTAAAAAAACTTCAGCATGTTTGAGAATTTCTGCTGGTTTGATTGAACAATGAGAGGCTGTTTTCTACATTATACAATACAATACTTATGACTGACCTAAAACCTGATGTTGAATAATAGGTTTAAATGGCAGAAAATCTAATTAAAGTGTTCTTTTATAACCCCGAGATTACGTTTATAAAAATAGAGTCAGGGAACCTGTAAAATCGAAATGTGGCCACATTTCCAAAGTGTGTAATTACAATCCACACACTCATCACATTTCAACAAGATTATAACAACCCAAGATGGCCTCTTATCACATATAACATGCTTTTATTAGATATTTTCCACATTTGAGAAATCACTGCAAGTGTCTCTAGCATTAAAACACAAAGAAACGTTCGAACTTCCATCCAATATAATAATTTTCGCATTTTTCAAGAAGTCTAATAAATAAGACATAGAAATAAGTGGATTGAAATATTGTCACTTGCTATTAAATAACAGAACTGTGGCAGGAGGGAGTGAAGAAAGAAAGAAAGTGAGAGAGAGAGAGAGGCAGCAGGAACAAGCTTTTCAGACAGGAATTAGTTTGCCCTTCCCCCAATCCCTCTTAGCACTACTCATTCAAGCAAGCAAACAGCCGCCACTGCGCCACTCATTTCAGTATTCGCAACACATCTTGCTGACTGGAAACTTGCCTGCTATTTATTTCCATTCACCAGTCAAATGAGTCCAACACATATCAATATTAAAAAAGAAAGACTAAATAACATTTTATTATCAGCATGACTCAGAAGTGTAGCAAGAAAACACAGGCTGACTAATTTTAGGCCCTGTTCACACTTGATACTCAAAAGCATTTTTGTTTATCTGCATCAATGATCTCATTTTTAGTTGAAGAGAAAAGTTTACTTATAAATGTAAAATATTACATTACGCTGTAATAGTTTTGAACATCCCTTGCAGAGGAGTCCTTTTCCAGATCAATATTAAAATCAAGGCCATTCGAAAATAATTTAAAAGTACATCATTTGCATAGGAGTGGATGTGTGGGACTATGCCTGAAACATAAAAGCCATATAATTTACCCATTACTCCAGACCTCTCGTTTAATTTGGCATTGAGAAGCTTTCGACTGATGAAGACGTAGCCACAAGGACAGGATTTACAAGCCACAGGAATCTGTGAAAACAGAAAGAAAGAGCTTAGTATTCACTGCTAAAGTTTGTGTACAATAAATGACTAAATATTTCCCAACACTGGAAGAAGAGCACTCCATATTAAGTATTTAAAGAGGGGAAAATATGCTGTGCCTTATTAAGGCAACACTGATGTTTAATTTGGGGAAAACTGACATTGACTTTGAAGTAAACAGGAAACAATAGTTTTCTGCTTAGGTGCCAAAACACAAGAACAATGAGATTGAAAAATACAGGCTTATGAAATGATCTGCAGTGACCTGTTTGCTCAAGGACAGAATAAACATAGGTATATTTATAAAACTCTAATATTTCATGTTATCATCATTAGAAGAGGCTGAAGTCTTCAAACGATATCAAACACACGAGTAACTTAAACAGTTTAATCGCAGAGTCAAGCCTCCGTGATATTTAACGAGACCAACAGAGAGAGCATAAAAGCTATCCAGTTTCATTGTTTTAATTCAGTAAGGTGAATTATTTTACACAAATACACAATATTATCGCTTAACCACAATGGAGACAAAATTAGGTGGAATATTGCATGCAATACGATTAATAAAATCAACAATATCATTTCGATATAATGGACAAAATGTGAAAACGATATTTTACATCCCCTAGCAACGCTGTTTCTAGGTCACAAACGGCTAACAAATGACTAACCCTGACTGAATCACATAAGACACTAAAAATAACAATTAAGGGATTAAAAACTTAAGCAAAAACACAAATTTATGAATCATTCATTCTCAAAAAACACCTCACCTGTTGGTCACACTCCGGGCATGATTTGGTGGCCATTTTCACTTTTTTTACTTTGTTAGTAGACATGTTAATAACAACGATCTTCAGTAATATCCACAGACCTCGGCGACCGCACTGTAAAACTTCCAGCTGCACTAACGCACACAGAGAAGTGCAGCTGATCGGCTTCCCGGGAGCTCTGACCAGACACACAAACCGACCGACCATCAATCGCACAATACACACTGCGCATGCGCTCTCTGGAGCTCAGTTCAGTCCTCGGCTGGCAGTTCACGTGACTAGCAGTCAGCAATGAAACGGTTTTTATGATTTTTGCCTGCTCCCTCTCTATAGTTAAGTAATGTGCGTCATTAAGTTAAGGAAGTAAAACAGTTATGAGTGAGCGAAAGGTAATATTTTTCATGCCCAGATATTTTCTTTATGAATGCTGCACTCTCCGAGCATGCGCACTTCAGCACGACAGTCACATGGTGAAGAACAATAAGTGCTGATGTGGGAGAAACTGATATTATGCTGTTTGAGACAAACGGCCATCGCTTTCTAATGCTATGTCTGTGTAATAATGTATAACACTCTCAGATACATCTTTAAATAAACATTTCCTAGAATGTACTCTTTCTTATATAATATTCTAACAATATGTTGATATGTAACTGTATATGTGTGTGTGAAAGTCTAAGAGAGCATCAGATTGCATTTGTAATATCTACAAATCTGCCCTATACCACCCTTTAAACTCAGTGTTGTAATTGTTCCCTCACATCACAAACATTTCTGTATACAGTTGAACAGTCAGTGTCTCCTTTCTAAATAGCTTCAATTTAGCTTTTTCATTCATTCATTCATTCATTCATTCATTCATTCATTCATTCATTCATTCATTCATTCATTTTCTTGTCGGCTTAATCCCTTTATTAATCCGGGGTCACCACAGCGCAATGAACCGCCAACTTATCCAGCAAGTTTTTTTACGCAGTGGATGCCCTTCCAGCCGCAGCCCATCTCTGGGAAAAGCTTTTTCATTATTTGCACAATATCCTGGAATAAATATGACAAATATTACTTAAGCTAATGCATAATCTGAAAGACTGGTTGTGTGGGATGATTTTGGTTTTCATGCTGCTTATCAGATCTCTTTAACTCAGAAACAACAAACATTTCAGTGAGCAATATTTCCAACAGCCTGACAAACATCCCTGTCATAAAACAATAGCTTTGTTCAATAGTAATATTAATAGTAATATTATATATAATATATTATTTAATATATAATAGTAATATTTGGCTCTTGCAGGAGAATCTTTGACACAAATCTACTGTATAACATAAAACATTACATTGATTTAAAAGAATTTGTCACCCAAAATTACATTTTTAAACTTTTTACTTACTCTTTGGTCTTAATTTACAGCCATGCCATCCTAATAGAAGGTGACTTTTATTTTTAGTCAATCCAGTAATGAAGATTTATAGCTGAAACTTTGGTCCTGGCTTTTTTTCAAGTCAGTTGTGCTTTGAAAACAGTTCTTAGCCTTCCACTACACTGTAAAAAATCAGTTGCCTTAAGTTTTTAAGCTGAATCAAATTAACCTTATGAGTCAATTTAATTAATATTATGTTAAACTGATTTAAAACAAGTTACACAACTTATACAATTAAGTTAAAACATGAACAACTAATAAGTTACAATGACCTGAGAACATATGCTTTCAGGACTAATCGATTATATAATTTTGTAGAGTGTAGCTGTTGATTTTTTTGGCATTTTAATAATCAAGGTTCACACTAAAATGTAAGCTAAAAAACGCTATGTTCCTTTTATTAAAAAATTACTTACATCTCAGAGTAAATGTATAGCTTTTTATTATTATTTTAAGAGTTGACATGCTATTTTTTAACTATTTTTTTTACTTCACATATATGTTAACATTCGTATAGGTTCATATTTACTTACAATAAAGTCACATTTTTTCTTATGTTTTTATCCTCCTGTTAAGTTTTTTTCCCAGTTATTCCTTCATAACAATGCCCTTCTGAAACCTATTCACTTTTAGACTTTTCTTTTATCTGACAAAATGGGCGACGAATCAAAATGTTCATTGTATAGGCAAACTTCTGTTGAACACAATGGAAAATATTTCTGAAAAAATGTTGTAAATTGGTAACCATTAACTATGATAGTATTTGTTAGGTACAGGTTTCCAACATTTTAAAAAATATCTTTTTTGTGTGTTTAACTCACACACAACTTAAAAAATGTCTTAAAAGTTTGAAACCTCTTGAAAGTGAGTAAAAAGAGGGAACATTTTATGTTGGTGTGAGTTAACCTGTTAAACTTAAGAAAAATGATGACTAAAGGAGACATTCTACCATAATCATACATTTTCACTTGACAGGACCTGATAGGAACAAGCATAAAATCATACAATTTAATGAGAACGCATTCTTTATCACCTTTTTTGAACTTTTATTATATAACATAAAGATAAATTTAATACACATCATTTACAATAATAATCATTAGATTATTTACAATGGTGAAAATAAAGAAAGACAAAACAAGAGGAAAAAACAACAGAAATCAAAACAAAGAAACATGAACAGGTTATCTGATCTGAGGATAGAAATAAAGAAATTAAGCGTGAAGAGGGGAAAATAAGAAGATAACAGTAATTTAGAAATTAAAGGTCATGCAAAATGTATATGTTTTGAGTTTTTTTTTGTGAAGTGAATCTGGAATTGTAAGTAAATAATTTTTAATCTCTTGTATAAATGCTATAATTATCAGCATCCGATTTGAAAATGTACATTTATGAATATAAAATCTGCATAAAAAAGAATACGTTTTATTATTAAGCAGACATTACAATTTGTCAGTTTGTATAAATAAAAAGCTTTTGGAAGTGATATTTGAGATAAATAAATGACCATTTTGCCAAAATTGGGACACAGTTGGCATCCTTGATCACTGTCAGCTTCTCTTTTGTCAAATGATGTCACTTCTGAGTCATTGCCTTAAAGGTGTATTGCACACATTTTATGTTAAATGTAATGCAAATGTGACAGGACTGACCGAAACATGGGCACAGTTGTAAAATAACATTTATTTGTAGAAATTATTTATAATTTCAAGTTTTAAATCATTTGATGTGAAAGATAGCAACTTAAACTTGCTATTTCAGACCCCCCCCCCCCCCTAAATAATCGTTTTTAGCATAACAAAACTATTAGTATAAGTTGCAGTTTCAAATGGGCAAGGAAAACGACAGGGTTTTATGGTTGTAAAGAGAACCAAATTAATAGCAACTCACAAAAAATCAGCCATCAGTCCATTTTTAGGATGAAATACTTTTTATTCGCTGTATTTATTTATTTTTTTTCAGGGACTGATAATGTACGTTTCTGGTAGAATGTCCCAAATAGTGGGCCTACTCCCATTCAACACAAATATGCAATTACAACATGCAGCTTTTACAGTTCTTCCAGTCAGTCCTGTCATCTGTGTAAAATATTTCCTTCCTCACTCTTTTGCTGCTATCTCTGTTATAGCAACTCCCCGGACACCGCATGCCATACACTCTTTGAAGCACAAGCCTTAAACTGCAGACAATTTACAGCAGTAAAGCAGCATTTTTCTCCATGTCACTGAACAATGGCTAAAGCCTTGTGTTGAGTGCCTAATGAAGTAGAAAGTACCTAAAAGCCTTGTGTTGAGTGCCTATTGAAACAGAAAAGACAATCTTAAAAGAATATCATGTGTGGCTCTGCAGACTTCATGGTTATTGGTTGCACTGTGGGAAACTTATGTGCTCTTCTTATGTTAAACAGGTCATTGTTCAGCACAACACTGCTCTTTTAACCTCACACAAGATGACGTAAGCTGCTGGTACATAGGGTGTTAATTACATTTCCTTAGAAAATCTGAATTTCTGTGACTGAATGAGTATCTTGTTTGAGGCTTTTTTTTGTATCAAAAAACTTCACTGACAAGTCAACAGTTACGAGTTCAGTTTTACTTTGCCTCATAAAAAATACTTAAAAAATAATAAATGATAACACTAATAAAGGCAACCTGACAAACAATATTATAGTACAAATAAAAGTTTCTGAATGATCATATCATGATCATGATAAAAAATAATTCACACCTCTCTTGTCAAGGACTGGATAATCCTGATTACAGAAATCATAATTATGGAATATTCATTCATTAATTTTCCTTCGGCTTAGTCTCTTTATTCATCAGGGCTCACCACAGTGGAATGAACCGCCAACTTATCCAGCATATGTTTTATACAGCAGGTGCCCTTTCAACTGCAACCTAGTACTGGGAAACACCCATACACTTATTTACACACATACATATGGCCAATTTAATTTATTCAATTCACCTATAGCGCATGTCTTTGGACTGTGGAGGAAACTGAGCACCCGGAGGAAACTCACGCCAACATGGTGAGAATATGCAAACTCCAAACAGAAACTGATCCCTCCTGGACTCGAACCAGCAACTTTCAAGCTTCTAACCACTGAGCCACCTTATCACCTTTACTTTAAAAAATAATAATTCACTTATTCATTCATTTTCTTTTCGGCTTAGTCCCTTTGTAATCTGGGGTCGCCACAGTGGAATAAGCCGCCAACTTATCCAGCCTATGTTACACACAGCAGATGCCCTTTCAGCTGCAACCCATCACTGGGAAACCTTAAAAAAATAATAAATTATAATAATAATAGTAAAGACAACCTGACAAACAGTGTTACAGCATAAATAAAAGGTATACTACAAATTTCCGAGTGATCATATCATAAAAATAATAATTCCCACCCCCTCTTGTCAAGAAATGGATAACACAGATTAAAGAAACCATAATTATGGAAAAGATTGGACATATATTAAAAGGAAAATCCAAGTCAATTCAGAAGCTGTGGGAAATTCCTGTGACCTGTCTTAGTATTGATTATAAGTCTATTATTTATTCTTAATTGTGCACTTTGCGGTATTGTAATATTGTTCTGAATTAGACCACACTGCTTTTTTTCTTCTTCTTCACTTTTTTAGTCCTTCGTTTTTTCCCTTAAAAATACTGTATATTGTTTATGTTTTACTCATTGCTGTAAATACAACTCATCTTGAAAAATTCAATAAATGATAATTGACAATAATGCTGTTTTATAAATGAAGTTGTTGAGAAGAGACTGCTTGTAAAACAGCATTGTTTCCAGCAGATGGCGACATTTCATTCTAAATAAAAATATTTATAATAAAACCTAAAACTACTCAAATATGAACAAAAATGTTGCACTTTTCTCTCATTCTGAAAAATTTCTGATTGGATTTACTGTGTAATATCTCATATTGTGAAGACATAATTCCTTTTATTTTGATAAGATACAACACACACACACACACACACACACACACACACACACGTAGATTGTATGTTTATGGATTTTCAACATTTACAAAGATCAAATAAACAAACAAAGTGCACAGGATGGGAAATAAAGCACACACACACACACACACACACACACACACACACACACACACACACACACACACACACACACACACACATATACATATATATATATATATAGGAAGATATTTTGAAAATACCCTGGTTGCTGGCTTCCAGTAATTTTCCCTTTAGCAACTAATGGAAGTCAATGGCCAGTCAATGCCAGCAATACACATTCTTCAAAATATCTTATTTTGTGTTTATCGAATGAAAGAAACTAATAAAGATTTAAAACCACGCTAAAAAATGCTGTCTGCAAATTTGTTGCAAACAATTTCTTTGTGTTGAATTTAAACAAACAAATTAAATTTAGTAATGTTCAATTTAACTAGTTTGTTTAAAATCAGCCCAAATAAATTGTTTACAACCCCCTAACTGAAACTTTTTAGTAAATCCAAGGAATTATTCTTAAATATTTTTTTCAGTGATAAAGGAGAATAAACTCTGACGTAATTTAATTTTTTTTTGCGGGGTGAACTATATCGATATAGATCTTTAAGTGCAATTATTAATGTTAAAATATTCAGCATTTAAAAAACAAAAAAGGTTCAGAATTTCAGGAAAATTTAATCTGTGTCACCTTTGATGGCAAAGTGTGTGCGCGCGAGCGTGAATGTTTTGATCTTTCTGTTTTGTTTAGGGTTTTTTGCATACTTTCTGATGAAATTTCAGCCGGCTGTGACAGTCGAAAAAGTCTCCTCCCCTCACACACACCCACCGGCTGCGGCAGCTCATGTGACGCTGGGTATTGTAGTTTTACTGTGTTTGCAATTGACTGTCAACTGTAGCTAATTGGACTAGGAAAAAACTACAACACCCATGACGAACAGAAGCACAAGCGCGCTGAATGAGAGACCATAAAGGTTGGCGGGTGGATGATAGTAGGCAGGCGGTGTGGTCAATCGCTGATACGGTCTAAACGCTTGATTATGCAGACCGGACTAGTACAGAAGAAACATTGTCTGAAGTGATTTCGCTTTTTATTTGTTAGTTTTAACGTTTACTTTTTCTGACTGACGGTTAGACCGAGAGTTACCGTTATCAGTTCAAACGCGTATCCTTCTCTCGGGCTTTTGACAGCTTGATTCTTCAAACGGACTTGACTTCCTCACTGTGCCGAAATGTTTCGCTTGCAGTCGCTGGCAGCTCGGTCGTTGGTTGCCGGGGCTCTGGATCAGTGCACCCCGCTGATATCTCTTACCGGGGTGAGACACAAGTCTCAAGCTCCGACCGTCGAGAAGTACGGCCAGATGCGCTTCAGCACCGCCGAGGCTAAAGTGCCCGCCGGGGGTCTGCACGGTAAGATGCGAGAGAAGACCCTGACGATGGACACCCTGAACCCGCAGGTGAAGGCTGTGGAGTACGCCGTGAGAGGACCCATCGTTATCAAAGCTGGAGAGATTGAGAGATGCTTGGAGGAGGTGAGGACATGTTTCGGAGATTTGTTTTCTTTAAAGAGGCAGTTCCAGTCACATGCTCTTGACCACGGCAAGCGTTGTTCACATAATGGGCATCTGTGCTCTTCTCTTATAGGGTGGAACAAAACCCTTCTCTGAGGTCATCAAAGCCAATATTGGTGATGCTCATGCCATGGGACAGCAACCAATCACCTTCCTCAGACAGGTACCCAACATTGCATAACATTCTTGTATAAAAAAAATCTTCTTTCTTGGATTTGAGAATAGAGGCACCAGATGGTGGGAACAGAACTTGATTTGGTCTCACCAGGTGTAATAATAGTAAATTTTTTTCATACATTGGTAGATGGGGATAAGCAAAGCTATACTTTAACATCTCACAGCCATTGTAAAATGAAATCCGTAAGTTTAATGATGAGCAATTCCAGCGTTATGGATGTGACATTTACAGTAAAAACTCAAACATATATCCACATAGAAAGTTTATATTTATGTATATTTATGTTTGTTTATATTTTCCAAAACTTTTAACCACAGAGTTATGGCAGCAGAAAAATATCAATCTGTAAACATATTTTATGTTTTAAATGAGGGAAAAATTAACATGCGTTATGGATGTGATCAAAAATGTCTGCGAGTTTACAGTACACAACATACTTTGTTGAAATTCTGTAAATTAAACTGTACAACCCAAAATAAACAATGATAATCAAAATAAAAGGTGGTTTTCTATTGAACAAACAAGGTTTTTTTTTTTAATTGACATTTTTACATTTATGAGGGAAAAGCTTTGGTATAGATGTGACTTCTCTCCATTATGGATGTAACGGATGTGAAATTGCCTCTCGTGTGACCATGATTTCAAACAATTATATTTGATTTAACAAAGATGTTTTTAAAGTACTGTAAAATACTTGCTTAAACAAAATGTAGAAAAAGTTTTTTCTATTTTGGTGAAACAATGGCAAGGTTGACATTTGCATGGAATTGCACTGATATATGAAAAACAACAAAAATGTGGCTTCCAGACATTTATTAGAAATCAGGGATTTGTTCTTAGTTTTTACTTGCAGTAAAGCTTTTACCAATGTGTATGTTAAAAAGGAAACAAATTCAAACTATTAAAATTACTACATTTACCGATAATTAAACAGCAGTGGTATAAATTCAAATCGAGGACGAGGTGGAGCTTTTGTTCTGCTTTTGGCCATTCATGTTTCTCTTGCACAGTGGAAATGACAATGCTTTTCAGTTTCTCATGCAAATCGGCAGTGGCAGAATATTAAAGTTGTTTCCTGTTAGTGCAAGTTTACAAAATGCAGCCATTTAGTATAAATCTAGAACTCTATCTTGCAGTTGACACTCTCATTTCCAAATGCTTCCTTTTTGTTAATTTTATTAACCATTGGTTTGCCACTTTAAAAAAAAAATGCAACACCCACACTTTAAAGTACACCTATCCTTGCTGTATATATATTTTTCTGGTTTGACAATACATCCCTGGGATGTACACAATTATACAGAAAAAAAATCTGGTCAACAATCATTGTGACCTAAATAAATAAATAATAATTTATAAAACAATTTCACAACATGCATACTTGGTTGCCACAATGCCAGTCACACTGATTGTTGTATTAATTATGTATCCTTATTCCTTGGAAAATTACACAATAGACTCTTCTTTAGATAGAAAAAAAATATCTAAATTTCTACCCTTTAACTTCCTGCTTCTCCTAATGGTTGACCATATTATGAATGTTAAATAAAATAATGGTTTACACTACACAGCATTGTTGGTTTACAAAAAAATAAATATTTTGGTTTAATTTAAAAAAAAAAAAAAGAAAAAAGAAAACATGTTAAATGAGAATCTGGTGGTAAATCAAATATATAGTTTGAAAACATTGACAGAGACATTTAAGTACCGTAAAATATAAACCTACACAAAAAGTTAGGTGTATTTTGGCCAATTATTATTTTTTTTTCTCCATGGCAAAGTTGACTTGTGGCTTTAAGACATTTAATAGAATTGGAATCTGGTGACTTTGGTAAATTAAATGTAATAGTTTAAAAACATTGACAGAGACTTTTGAGTATTTAAGTCGAGCAGACATAATCCTGTCGCACTACTACACTTGATTTTGGTTTTATTGTAATAAATAAATAAAAAAAACAACATGTTAAATGAGAATCTGAAATATTTCATGGCATGCTTCAAGAAATAAAGATGATTTAGTGTTCAAAAATGTTTTATTTAGATTATGTTCTTAAATAAATTGGTCTTAAACTTTTGATATTTTCATATTTTTCATAGCGTATGTATCAATTCTGGTAGTTTAACCTTAAACTGACGTATTAAACGTTTGGTAGAGGTTGATATTTTAGAAACTATGCTATGTGTTGAAACAAATTACATCGAGTATGTTAACTAGTGACATTAGGAGTTAAGAAATGCAATCCATACTTTTTTTTCTTGGTGGGGCAGTTAAAGGGCTAACCTAGAAAGAAGATTAAATATTTTTCAACTCTTGCAGCATGAAAGGGTTTGTTCAGGTTAATGAGGAGTCTGAGTCCTGTTTGTGCTCATTGTAGAGTTGCATGAAAGAAAGGCAGCTTTTGTTGACCACTCCACACAGTGTGTTTTGGAACACACTGCAAATTCCAGTGGGTGACAGTCTCTTATGATTGGCCTAGTTTAGTCTTAGTTGATCTGTGTTTTCATTATGAGCACAACAAAAGATGCTGTTGTGGCCTGAGACTGTGCAGTTTGTGAAGTAAATTTTCTTAAGAGCCAACCAAACACAACGTTGCATACTTTATTTATAGTAATAGTTTCTGGTCAGTGTGTCCCACATTGGGGATTTAAACTAAACTGAAGTTTTTTTTAAGCTTTTGGTTTTCATTAAAGAATGTGTTATGTTTTCTCTTAGTTACCTGTATATCTGTTAGCACAATGAAAAAAGCTTTCAAACTCATTTTTAATCTGTGTTTGTGCAGGTGGTTGCTCTCTGCACATTCCCTGAGCTAATGGAAAGCCCTAGTTTCCCAGAGGATGCAAAATGGAGAGCACGGCGTATCCTGCAGGGCTGCGGAGGTCACAGTCTGGGTGTGTGAAGGCCACAATGTGGAATCAAAATATAAAACCGTTTACAGAGTAGTGACTGGAAAGCATCCATGATACCCTGTTATTGCAGATCATGCAGTTCTCAGGAAGCTGGAAAACAATAGCCCTGAATCACAACACTGCATTGAGTGTTTTGCTGCAGTAACAGTTTTATGAATGCTAACGCATGTGTTTTTGTCACAGGGTCATATAGTGCAAGTGCTGGTGTGGAGTACATTCGTAAAGACATCGCTGCATACATAGAGCAAAGAGATGAGGGAGTTCCTTCAAACTGGGAAGACATTTACCTCACCACTGGAGCTAGTGATGGCATAATGGTAAGAATCTGTGTATGTGCAATCGAGACTGATTACTTGGTTAATGATACCAACAATAACACATTCTGTTTTTAAGACTATTCTGCGGCTGCTGGTTTCTGGGAAAGACTCTTCTCGGACTGGTGTAATGATCCCCATTCCTCAGTACCCGCTTTACTCTGCCGCAATCTCAGAGATGGATGCTGTTCAGGTCAACTACTACTTGGATGAGGACAACTGCTGGGCCCTGGACATCAATGAACTTCACAGAGCCTATCAGGCTGCCAAACAGCACTGCCAGCCCCGAGTCATCTGCATCATTAACCCTGGCAATCCTACGGGTAGGTATTCTTGTGTGCTAGGAAACACAATGCCCTTCTGGTTGTTTGGATTCACTGGCATGTCCTCTGGAAAGAAAAGTGTGTCCTTTTCACCCCATGTTCTTTTCCAGTCATGATACCTTGTGAATGGGGACTAATGCTGGTGACATCTAAAGTTACAACCATATGATTTCTAGGCATTATATTCTCGAGCCTCAGCCCTTTTTCCCCCTAAATCTTGTGCACAACAAAACAACTTTTAACTTGCACATGTTCCCTTTTCTTGTAGATGTCTCTCAATTTATTTATTTGTTTTTTCACTGGTGATTGGCAGTGTGCAAAATCACTCGTATTGAATGGTACTAAGCAAGTTGTTGCACAGAACTTGTCATCCTCAGTTTTTTCCTTTCGAATTATATCGCTTAAGCTTTTCCACTTCTGTTTAATCTTCTCCACTACAGCACAAAACAACTGGTCAATTGTTTTGTGGGAAAAACTTCCAAGCTATAAAAGAAAAATAAGTGAAATGAAACTCGCTATTGGGTCCTATTTGATTTGCTTAACTATATTGTTTTATGTTTGAGCACCACTAAGTAGTTTTTTTTTTTTGTGACTTCAGCAGCTCATGACATGTGAGCAAAATCTGCGGCACGTCCAACTTACAAAAACAAAACACAGCGCATTTGTCTAATGTTTTGCGCCTTGGTGTACACGCACTCTTTGTTTTGTCATGAGGCATTAAATGTAGTAATAAGCATGAGCAAAAATTGTCCAGCTGTGTGCTTTTTTAAGTTGCATCATAAGAAATGATTGCTGATTGCTTTAATTATATAATGCTTGCATTCTTTTTCTTATTTTTTTTTTAAATTTGTTTTGTTTTTCATTTAGGTGAACTTTCATTTTAATTCTGTCATTCCCTTCCCCATTTGTCTTTCTTTTCTCTTTACAGGTCAGGTTCAGAGTAAAAAATGCATTGAAGAAGTCTTGCACTTTGCTTATGAGGAGAACCTCTTTGTGATGTCAGATGAGGTAATCACAACTCGTGCTTTTTTGCATTCATTATATAATATTTTATTTAACATAGATTTTTTTTTTTTTATTGAGATATTAAGCAAATCAGATATCATTGATGATGATAACAATAATAATAATAATAATGATAATAATAATAATAATAAATGTTTTTGAGCACCCAATCTTCATTTTACAATGTAAGAATAATGTTAGGCCTAATGGTAGAGTATTGATGCTGAGTTTTCAGCCTTTTTCTATCACAGGAATAAATGAGGAAGTAATCTTAAACAGTAAAGCAATGCAATATAGGGTTAATAAACACTACTACTTTTTCTGTACAAGTAAACACTGTCTTGATCCTCACAAAATGCTACTTTCAAAATCATTTGGTAACACTTTACAATAAGGTTTATTAGTTAATGGATTTACTAACATGAACCAATCATGAACAACACATGTACAGCATTTATTATTCATAATTGAACATTTACTAATGCATTATTAACATCCAAGTCCATGCTTGTTAACATTATTTAATGCACCATGAGTTAACATGATCTAACAATGAACAACTGTATTTTCATTAACTAACGTTAACTAACATGAACAAATACAGTAGTAGATGTATTGTTCATTGTTTGTTCATGTTAGTAAATGCATTAATTAACATTTAACTAATAAACCTTATTGTAAGTGTGACCAATCATTTTTGAAAAATCATATTATTCCCCGACAATATTGTATATTTAATTTGAATGTATTTGGATGTATTCTGACCTCAGTTCCCTAAACACCGTTTAAGTTTACTTAGTTTGACCTCCCCATGGTCACCATGTTCTCAGTGGTGTTTTGTGCCATTGCTGGCAGGTGTATCAGGACAATGTGTATGCTCCAGATTGTCAGTTCCACTCCTTTAAGAAGGTGCTATACGAGATGGGTCCTGAGTACTACAACAGTGTGGAGCTCGCTTCTTTCCATTCCACTTCCAAAGGCTACACAGGAGAGTGAGTGTCCCTGCACATCATGATTTTGCCAAGAACGATGCCATCCTAGATTAACACCTATGTTGAGGCTGTAATATCAATTTTGTTTAAAAGTGTAATCCATACCTAAACCCAACCATAACTGTATAAATATTCCCAAGATCAGAGGAATAATTGTTGGATAACACTCATGTAGAAGTGCATAAACCTAACTATAAGCCTAAACTTAACATAAACGGTAAGCATATCCCTTAATTCTGATTGGGATGTTGTTTCAAGATCAACACGTGGATATTAATCCAGGAACATGTTCTACTTTGTGAAATCAGGTTGGCGGAGTGTCCCTGTTCTTGATCCTTCACTAGGGTTAGCATGTGCTGCCATTTGATATGGTCTGCTCTAGATCAGCTTTCACTGACCCTTCACACACTTTCACATGACATAACCACAGTATCCTGAGACATATTTAGATGTCGTCTGACTTTGTAATTTGCAATATTTAAATAGACCTGATGTTGAAATATCAACCACCTTCAGTCGAGTTATTGACATTTGCAAGGATGACTTGAACTGGTCAAAGTCAGTCTACTGACTAGGCCTCAGATGTTATTTCTTTGTTAAATCTTATTTGACATGAATTGTTGTTTAAAACACTACCCTCTCAACAAATGGAATGTGGTTTGACTGGAATTAAAAATGTGTGTTTGTTTTAAAAGAAACTTAAAATATTTATGTTTCAAGTCGAGACAGTACAGGTGAATATGGTAAAAATTAAATAATATTTATAACCGTATTTCCCAGAATTGTATCTCTTGATTAAAAATCCATCGTAAAGCTGGAATGGTTTGGTCCTCGAAATATTTCAGAATCAAGTTGTCCATGGGGTCTTAAAGTCTCAAATGTCAGAAACAATATTTCACAATTTTAATCTGGTATTTTCCTTTGTCCAAGTAAAGCTACCCAATCCAGTCAATACTCATTTAATCACCTAGCAATCAATCTAAAAGAACATTTACATTTTAAATAAGTGGCAGGAGGAGTGGGATGCATTGGAAAATAATAAATTACATGAAATCCAACCTGAAATCTCAGAATTTTAAGACTAGATTTGATCAAGTGATTTTTACCTGATGTCGTATTAGACATACGAGAATAACCCCACCCCTTTTTAACTTGCATTGTTTAAAAGTTCTCCATGTATTTATAGCTACCCAGTGAGGACAATGACCTGGACAGACTTCTGTGCAAACTTTGTCTATTATAAGTGTAAAAAAATTGTAAAAGTTATATTGAAAAAAAACTAGAGTTGGCTTGTTTTGGCACCATATTACAAAATATGTATCTAAGAAATGCCTCATTAGAAGTAAATGAGTAAAAATCTTTTTTTCAGTGGACTATCTTAAACTTGTCTTTACGAAACCTGCAGAAACCTTGTGAAATACTTTTAAAAATACTGCATGCCCCTCCCCTTATGAATAGGGAAATGAATAAAACTGTGAGGTTTTAAGTACTGCTAAATTAAAGATTTATGGTTCAGTGCAGGAGAAAAGTAATGCCTTTAAAAATACGTAGACATAAATGAATTGATAGTAGTTGAAATTGAAAAGACGAAAATCTTTAAGTTTGTTTTGGATATTTACAAAAGAAGTGCAAAATGCTTTATGAATGGCTATCATCTCAGAATGGACATGTAAATAAAAAGTAGCGTCTGTAGTAGGGCTGTGCGATTTAATACAAACTGCAATTTGAAATGTAGTGATTAGTCAATTGCAAGAGGCTGCAATATAAAATATGTATTTAATTGCCTCCACCCAGAGCAAATGAGCAAACCAATCAGATTTGCATCCGAACAATGCAGTACGGCCACAATAATAATAATAAAAAAATTACAATAAAAAGAAGAAAATAGAGCAAACGGGAAAGTGTGGACAAGTAGGATGATGGTGTCTGCTGCTTCAAAAGCATTAATAAATGAATTAAAATCAAAGAAAAACAGGACATTGGTAATGTGAGGATATTTTTGTTTCTAAGTCAGACTCCAAAAACAGGGAATTATTAAGAGCTGTCACAGAATTGTTGGCACTGCATTCAGATTGAGCTCACGCAAGACTACAAAATTAAATCGCAAATCAAATCACAATATTGGTTAAAAAAAAAAACACAATATAATTTTTTTTCCCCCAAATCGCACAGCCCTAGTCTGTAGTGTCTTGCTGTAATGAATGTAGAACTCATGTCCTTGTTCATGCCTAAGGTGTGGCTTCAGAGGAGGTTATATGGAGGTGATCAACATGGATCCTGAGGTCAAGGCGCAGCTGGTGAAGCTCTTATCCGTTCGACTGTGTCCACCCTTGTCTGGCCAGGCTGCAATGGATGTCATTGTCAACCCTCCTCAACCAGACGAGCACTCATACCAACAGTTCCACCAGGTCAGTCTAGTGTGAAGTAACACTTGCTATTGACATTGGAACAGGTTGCTGATCTTTAACATTTGGATGTTTACATGATGAAGCTGTAAAATGTAAACAATCCTAAGTATTTCTCTCTTAGGTTTTGACTGGGTGACATGATGGGGTTTGTCGGATCTTTTTTTCAGGAGAAGTCATCGGTGCTGGGTGCTTTAGCAGAAAAAGCTAAGCTAACTGAGGAGATCCTGAATGCAGTTCCAGGAATTAAGTGTAATCCCGTCCAGGGGGCCATGTATGCCTTCCCTCGCATCTTTATCCCCCCTAAAGCTATGGAAGAGGCTAAGGCAAGTGCTTTTACTGCAGCATTGCTATTTGTTACTAGGTGTCTGAACAATTTACAGTGAACACTGAAAAACTAGCAAACCTGCTTTCATGAGCACTGGAATGGCAATGAATGTTATCTGATTAAACAAGGGTGGAACCTGCAACACTAGTTCAACACTTTTTTTTAGAAATTTTACCTGGAAGGCCAGCTTAATTTAACTGCAAATGCTATGCTGCATGAATATTAGTTGTGGTGGTTTATATTCATGTAGCCTCTAAGAATCAAATGAATGCTTGCTTGCATAATTTAGTTAAGTTCATATTAATTTCTACAGCACTTCACAATGTAGATTGTGTCAAAGCAGCTTAACATAGAAGTTTTAGTAAACTGAAATTGAAACTGTTAGTCTAGTTTTCAGAGGTGAAGTTCATAACGGAAGTTTGCTGCAGGTAAATGTAACTTTTGCAGAATTCATTAGTCATCGATGTGAGCGTTCTGCTTAGAGTTTTCTTAATGAGGTGCAGAGGGTAGTCAGGGGGACCCATGGCAAAGTATTTATTTATATTTTTATATTTATTGTATTTAAAAGCCATATTCTTATATGATTAAAGACAAAATCTTTTAAACGTGAAGCTGATCTTGAACATTTACTTTGGAAGAAAATATTACAATGACACAAACAAGTGTTTACTCTTCAGAACACTAACATTATTACCACATTACTGCAGATGGTTTGGGAAAGGGATTGTAGCCTTCATTTTAAAACTTTTTAAATTTAAAACATGGTGATTACTTTAAGTGTTGCTCAATAACTATTAACGTTACAAACATTTGGCATTTGCAATAAATGAAGAAGTGGTCTGCAGCCTGCTAAATCAGTTCATCAGTTTTTGAGCTGTGAAAATGATGGCACTCTAATGACACCCCTTTAGAACTTGCTTTGGTTCTGCTGTCTCACTATGATTCGTTTCACAGACTCTAGGAATGCAGCCTGACATGTTGTACTGTCTGAGGCTGTTGGAGGAGACGGGCATCTGTGTTGTTCCTGGTAGTGGTTTTGGCCAGAAAGATGGAACCTATCACTTCAGGTAACATTCTACTTGTAGCTCAAAGTTATTTGTTTGGTCATTTAGTACACATTTTTAAGTCTGTCATCTTTGTTTTTTGTTTGTTTGTTTGTCAACTCTGATGAAAGTGTTATGAGAAATATTTTTGGCCCTACTAAAAGGTCCATCATGATATTGATTCCTAAACACTACACTAGCAATTATCCTGAGCTATGACAGCACAGGCAGCAGAAAGAAACATGCAAACAGAACATTGAAAAGAGCAGAAATGAGGACTGTTAAATTGTGTACTCTTAAGCACACATGGAGTTTTACCACTTGTTTCAGCATTCATACCAAAATGATTTTCATTGTTGAAGAAGAAATGTGTGTATATACAGAAATAATCGAGAAAAAGATGCAGAAATACTTTTGTAGCGCTGTGGAGCTTTGTTTCTGATACTCATATGTTGCACAAATCAGCCTTGTGCTTTTTTTTGAGAAAATTTGAATAAAATGAAACTTAACCAACTAAATCCTATTTATCCTGTAATTTGTGATCTGCTAGACCAGGGCTGTCAAGTTTGGTTAGTGGAGGGCCGCAGCCCTGCACAATTTTAGTTTTATCCTTGCTCCAACACACTTACCGGTATGTTTCAAACAAGCCCGAAAGACTCAATTAAGCTGCGGTCACATTAGAGTTTGAGCATGCGATATTCTGTCATGTGGCGCTGCAAAAAGGGGCGGGATTAAACAAGATTATTAGACATTTAAAAAAGTGAGTGATTGCTCCATGTTTTAAATTTCTGTCCAGAGATCTTATGTTTTGATCCTCGATTGGTCTCATGCAGTCAAGTGATGCGATTTCGCAGGTCAGAGTTCACCAAGCTTGAACTTTGCACCGCAGCAACCTGCGAAACTTAGCGCATGAACCAGCGTGTCCGGTCTGACGCATTCGCGTGCGTATGAATGGAAGTCTGTGGGAGGAAAAGCCCAGTGTGACCGCAGCTTAAGTTTGATCAGGTGTGTTTAATCAGGGGTGGAAGTAAATTGTGCAGAGCTGCTGCCTCCTGAGTTTGACACCTGTCAGCCAGACTGTTTTGTGTTTGAGCGCCATCAAGTATTCTTGTACTGTAACTTTTGCAGCTTAAGGCAGGTAAACAAAAACCGCACTCTCGTTGGTTGGCTAGATTTTAGTTTGTCAACCCCCCAAAACTCTGTGTCTCTGTGTCAATTGACCAACTGTTCTGTGTAACCTGTTAGCTGGTCAGGTTACTAGTCTGTCTCCCTACAAACATGCATGTCTTCAAAACCTCAACATATGTATATTTACCCGTTTTAAGTTTTGGACCTCTTTGTGTTTGTTCCAGAATGACAATCCTGCCATCCAAGGAAAAGCTGAAGGTACTACTAGGCAAACTGCGAGACTTCCACGTCAGTTTCCTGAAGGAGTATTCTGCTCTGGAGTAGCTGCACACATGTAGAAAACCTGCTTAACACACTAATTGCTCATTTAAACTGTAAAGATAGCGTTGAGTATCATGCCTTTTTTTATTTATTTATTTTTTTAGATAATTGAAATTTTAAAGATAACTTAAGCCTAGAATTACAGCCTTGTTTACTAATATTTTGGGGGAATGCTTTCTAGGTGTGTTTTGGGGAAGAATTAGCAGTTTATTCATAATTGATGAATGTTTACTTTTTACTTTTATTAAGAAAGAAATGGGTCATAGGAACATTTTTATTTATTTATTTCTTCTCAAAATGAAAGGGTTAGTTCACCCTCCCTGTCTTAAAAGTTTCTCATTTACTCTCATTCAATAGTTCAAGTATTTCCGTGAACATTTGAAATGGATTTCTTTTTTGTTTTGAAGCAGCCATTAACGTCAGTAGTAATATTATGGAAGTAAATGGCTGTTTTTCACCATTATTCAGCTTCTCTTATTTTGTGTTCAACAGAAAAAAGTAACTAAAACTCATTTGAAACAATTGGAGGATTCATGTAAAGGAGTTACGATGACACAATTAAAACATTTTTTTGGTGAACTATCCCTTAAATTTTGCTAGTTTTACATCAGGGTGCATTAAAAACACTCTCTCGTACGTGATATTCAGTTACAAACATTATTAACAACTTTCCACACCAGGAACTGAACTGTAAAGCTTGACATCAGCAATGTTCCAGTTAAAAAAATCTTGTGTAGCACCTTATATAAACTCTGACGGGGATCTAGCCACTTCCTCTGCTGGTGAAGAGGAAGAGGTGGTGTGGTGTCGCTGAGGGTACATCTTTCATGTTATGGTTGTGGAAAGTTTACAAGGAGGGACTGTTTTAATGCTTGTTTTGTCCTCATCCTTAGTTGCGCTCATTGCCATGCAATGTACATAAATATTTTATCTCACAAAATTGCAAGCTCAGCCACAAGTTAAGCTTCTGTGGAAGATTGTGACTGAGCTGATGATTTATGGCGTTTCAGAAACCTGTGTGTTTCCCAGGCTGGCTAATAACTTTGACTAAAGAAAGTGCTGGCTTGTTTTTGTTTACTGATGTCTTTTCTTCCGTTTTTGAATTGCAAATCTTTTTGTTTATGAATTGCAAATCTTTTTTTGTTTTGTTTACTCTATTAAACCTAATTCTGTTTGAATCAGAGCAGGGGCCTGTGCCTTCAATCTAACTAAACTATATCTACAGATAAACAAACAAACAAACCAATTCAGTCATGCTTTGTTGGAAGCAATTTACTTTTTTTTTTCTTTTTTGATTTGGAGTTCATTGGAGAACATGTTTTAGTTTTTCTATTTGCTGAAGATTGATTATGTATTTCTATTTCGTATACTTTTCTATTCAAATGAAACTGACTTGGATTAGTTTTGTGATTTATTAATTTAAAAGCATTTAGCAGCATTTCAGATGCTTTAAAACTCGCAAAATACAACTTAAGTTTTCCAAGTTGTTTTCGGCCCGGTTTCTCAAAGAGTTTTAAGCATCTTATATAGAAAATACCATAGAAAGGCATCTTCAGATGGAAAAAAGGCACTGCTGTATTTTATATTTCACTGCAAGTTTAAGGCAGCTCTGATGTGTGTAAACATTAACAGACTTCCCTCATTTCTTACACACTTTACATCAACACGTAAGCCTAGTGGAGAACCTTTGCAGTTTGAAAAATGATAGGTAATGCTATTTTATATTATTTAAAATATATACATAATTGCATTTAATTACTGAAACTATTGTAAATGTTTTTATAACATGTTAATGGTCAAAACCTTTGCAATTACTTCTCAATAAGTTGATTATGTGATTTTGTTTTGTTTTTAGAATGATTGCTCTGGTCCACATCAAATTAGTTTACTGTTAAGTCTATTTTGTAGGAAGAACTGACCGCATTTTGACATATGTTGGTTATTAAAGTTACAGTGGTGAACCCTGGAAAAACTTGATCTTTTCATGTCATAGGTCTCAAACTCAATTCCTGGAGGGCCGCAGCTCTGCACAGTTTTGCTTCAACCTTAATCAAACACAGCTGATCCCAATAATTGAGTCACGAGCACCTTGATTAGTTGGATCAGCTGTGTTTGATTAGGGTTGAAGAGGAACTGTGCAGAGCTGCGGCCCTCCAGGAATTGAGTTTGAGGCCCATGCCTTACATTTAAGGGTTCACAAACTCGGTCCTGGAGGGCCGGTGTCCTGCATATTTTAGTTTAACCTCAATAAGCACACCGGAACCAGCTAATTAAGCTCTTTCCAGCTATACTAAGATCTGTGTGTTTGAAGGAAGTTGGAGCTAAACTATGCTGGACACCGGCCCTCCAGGACCAAGTTTGGGCACCCCTGCCTTACATGATCTCTTGAAGCAGGATTGGCACAAACCAATATAAAACCTCACTGGTACAGGCCCCTAGCTCATTTCAGATAGTAAGTTTTATTTACGAATGAAATATCAGCCATTAAGAGATGTTAGTGCCAAAGTTGTAAATCTCTCTCTCTCTCTCTTTCTGACACATCTCTCATGTATCATATCTAAGCCATTAACAGTGAATGAATATTGTTAATGCATCCATTGAACTTGATTATCACTTTATATGAGGTGCCTTTACTCAGGAGTATGAGATGAGCAAATGAGTTTTCCCTACATGCATTAGTTGCTTGTCATATAGATTGATTTCTTGTTTACAGAATTTTTGAAAACTTGCCCAATGTTAAGCTTGTATATAGTATTTTCAACTGAATATTAAAGATATGCAAGTCATTCAAATTTATGAGTTTTTTTTTTGTTAATGACTTTAATGTGTTTGCCTGATGTCAACACATTTTCGAACAAATCATTTTTAAACCTTCATGGGTTAATTTATTTTCAAACTAGAGTCTTTGAATATTGATTATTATTCAACCAGGATCCAGGAATGTCCCTTTAAGATAACGGTCATTATCATTAAGAGTCCCGGTCGACAAGCCGCTTCGAACAGTTACACAAACCAAATAAATAAATAATGTCATAACACAGACACAATTAATATAATCCATAATCCATTGTTAAAACATGTGCACTGTTCTAAATTGACAGTCTTTAAAATATTTTTAAATAGAGCAATAGAAGGCACGGATTTGTAATATATCTTAAAGCTCATTCCATACATATGTAGCATACTTGGAGAATGCAGATGGAGTGGAAAAAATGCCATCTTGAGTAAGAGTAAGTCTGCTGATTTGGTATTGTAAGCATTTGAACAGTACTCCAACGAATTAGATATATATTTACCAACTAAAGCTTTAAAAATGAAAACTAAGATATGTTGTTTTTCCTTCAACTGAAATTTAGGTCTAACCTGTCATTTTTATATAAATTACAGTTGTGTGCAAGAAAACTAATTGTTTTGTTGAATTCATATGCATTCATGAAACTATTTAATGCATGAACAAATTAAGCTGTGGTGGAAAGAGTACTGACAAATCATACTCAAGTAAAAGTGCCATCACTTTCACAAAAATGTAGTGTTGAGTAAAAGTATCTGTTGTAAATATTACTCAAAGTATGAGTAAAGTACTCAAGAGTAGTATTACGCTGTGAAAAGTTGATGCGTTTTGTGCTGGGATGAGTAAACGTTACATTCTGTAGTGCATTTAGTGATCTTCCTATACTCGTTAGTTCCTTCCAACCTTCTTTACATTGTTTTTGTCCTTTATTCATTTGGTCCTTCCTTTAATCATTCTCTCATTTATTTTTATTTTTTTGTTCCTTCTTAGGTCTTTTGTCCACTCATTCGTTCCATCCTTAGTTGGGTCCTTCTTTCATTCGACCTTTCCATTCTTCATTCGTTCATTTAGTGACAGTTTAAGGCTGTTTGGTAATTTCAGTCATCATACAGTCGACATCATTTTCTCATCAGTGATTTGCAGTCTACAAAAAGTCTGTGGGTCATTGTGTGTAAAAACTTTAGACATCTTCTTGAACATTGTCAAGTGCTTCCAAAAGCATTGTTGCATTTATAAAGCGTCCATGTCTTGAGATTTACTTTCTTATGTGCAAGTTGACTGGACAGGAATCGCAGAACAGATTTTTTCTACTTTAGCCAATCACGTAAAAGAACCAATACAGCACTAAAAGTGTACTCAAGCTGTCACCAGTCTATGGTATAAGATCGAGATCTTCCGCCCTCTGGCGGTTTCCGCAGTAAACTTAACTGCTCAGTGACGCCAAATACAATTCCAGGAAGTTCGAGTTCACAGCACGTGACAATGAATATGTTTTCTACTAACTTCAGTTCTGGGTCACAGGTGCTTTTAAAACTGCTTCACTTTCCGCCGTCATTGAAGATACAGTTTATCGCCGAACGAACTATCAGAGCGGGAACAGAATGTCATGGTGAACTCTACATTACTATCGGGCAAGTGAACACATTATGAAACGTCTTTACACGTCCTTCGTCTCAGAACCACTAGATTTCACCGCTGACAAACCCGAACTGACCTTCGTATTGTTTAATTTTTGAAGTAATGAAACAAAAAATAATGAAAACGTGATATCTTCTAGGAAGAGCAATGTTCAAAATAAACTAGTGCTCGAAGAAACAAAGCAAACTGCTAGCAAAAAATAAAGCAAAGACTTGCATTATTTTGAGGAGATATTGAAGGACATTTTATTCAACAACTCAAACTTTTCACAGAAGATAAGCCTAAAGGTGCTTTTTTCCTCCACTCGTTTTATTTCAGCATGACGTCTCTCTGATGGACGTGAAGGGGCCAGAATGTTCAACATGCACCTGGATTGCTGACAAATATAGGCAATTGATTTCATTTCAACGATTTCAAAACAAAACACGCAAATGTGACAGCAGCTGATACAAAGCTTAAATGACAATCAATTCTTTTATACATATTATAGTCTCTTGCTCCAATTCTTAAAATATCAAAGAAAGGAAAAAAAAGGTCTACAAATAAAATAAAGTGGTAAAAACTGCGCACAGATAAACAAACCTAAAAATGGATTGATGATCAAGTCCCATGGTTGCCTTTTTTTTTTAATTATTTGTTTTTGTTGTATTAGGAGCTCTCAAAACTCCTCTTCCATTGGGTCACTGCTCTCCAACAATAGTCCAGGGCCAAAACTGCATTTATACTTCAATTTAAACTTGTAAATACCATGACAACAACAACAAAAAAAATAAATGCAAGTTACACACAGAGAACGTAGCATTTACCCTTTACTCTCTGAAGTGGGGTCATGTCTAGAGGGCCGCAGGGGCAAGAAAGGATTTTACTATATGCAGGATCATCTGTGCGTTTACTACAAGGGAATCAGGCGGTCAGGAATGGCTGTTTGTAATTCTCATCATTTAAGGCAGCCCTGAATCAGATTATAAACACCTGTTTGTGCAACTAGAACATTTTCTTAATCCCCACTGTTGGAGACGTTATCTGCTGTAGTCATGTTTACTGATGGGCACACTGAACGCCGGGTCCGTGATGTCCTCCTTCCTCATCTGAGCTGTCATTGTAGGCCTCGCGGCGGTGACCACCAGAGGAGCTCTGGCTCATGTCGAACTCCTGCAGATCCACCTCCTCCACATCTCCAGAGATCACTGGAGCATCGGCCCGTGTAGGCAGCAGGTCTTCCAGCTCCTGCAAAGTACACCAAATTCATGAGCTCAGCAATACATTTTATAGAGATTTAATTTTCTGGAAAATAAAGCCTCATTTATACTTGTATCCCACGGTAAATACCTAATATATTCTATGCTTCGCTGCAATAACACTTCTAAAATACAACTAAGTGGGATTTCTGTTCCACTATGTCAAGATTTACTCGGCAGTGTTTTGAGCTTATGCCAGAAGTATGTGTGATGCTAGGGCTTTAACTCGCACTCAATCAGAGAAGAGGTGAGAACTTGACAACTTTGATTATAAACTAAAGCATCTGACACATACGCTATGAAGGCCCTACCCCTTGTACTTGACATAGAAGTAGAACTACCCAATGTCAAAATTGCAATGTTGATATAAAATACAAATGTTGATTTAAATAGTTGTGTTAAATATTAGTGAAATACCAGTGTCATTCCTAAGTGAATGTTCATAGTATTTATTGTTTATTTTTGTTCCCCTTTACAACTACATTTCCTCATTCTTTACAGTAGTTCCAGGTCAATTTGATCCATTTCGTTTTAAATATTTATTTTGGCTCTTCTTCACCCAAAAATTCTATGCAAGTCACTTTTATTATACGTTCATACAGTTTATTTTATTTTCTAGCAAAACTACAGTATTTAAAAAACGGAAATAAAAAAAGCCTCAAACACAAGTTAGAGGTTTAAGTCTTTGAAAATTTTAACAAGGCTGTACAAAAAACAAACAAACAAACAACATGTACCATCATTTTTAACATTTGTAATGAACCAGTTATTTTGGTTTTTACTATAAAATCTACATTTATTGTAAGTGTCAAGCCTATAATTTTAATTAATACACTATAGAAAAATAAATGATTATTATGTAGAGTTCAGACTGCGTGATTTTAGCCCCAATTTTGAATCGCAGACAGGAGAAATCGTTAACAAATCAGTGCTCGTTCACGTGAGTAACAATTACACAATGCAAACAATGACGCAATCTGAGAGAATCGCAGGCGAGTCGCTGACACCTGTGAGATATTTTTCATGCTACTGTAAATATCTGGGCTTATCGGAAAGCCAAATCATACCTTGTGAAATGTCTTCTAACTGAAAACAACACCGGCGATTACCTACAGCCAATGAGAGAGCAGAATCCACTAGTATGGGAATCTCCAGGCCAGTGGGAGGTTGTGAGAGAAGTTAAGGGCTTCTTTTTGGTCTATTTGGACCCAAAAAATTGAGGAAAAACTAGTGTAAAATTGGCAGTTAGAGAAAATGCCAATTCCCTTCAAAACCCAGAGTAGCAAAATAAGTAAATTTTCTGGCCCACCAAAGGCCTCTTTCTCATTATGTAGTAAAAAAAAAAATAAATAAATACTACGTGACCTCACATTGTTTATCATGTCACTTTTTGTTTGGTTGTGAGATGTAGTTTGCTAACAGAGACAAAGTTGTCAGTGATTTTCCAAGTGCAAATTTATGCGGTTCGAAACCTCCTGTCGTCGATTTATATTGCAGGGTAAACATAGCAGCGACTGAAAAAATAATTAAGCAGTCTGAACCCTGCATTAGAGCAGTATTAAATGCATCACAGAAGAGCATGTTTTATACTACCTTCAGCTTCTCTGGGCTCAACCAGTTGTTGTCTGGGAACTGCACATCAAACTTGATAAACAGGTCGCCCTTCTCGAAGGGGTTGCGGTACTGGGGCATTCCTTCTCCCCGAACAACTCTGACTGAACCTGCAGAGGGACAAATCCACCATCAGAAAACGCAAACCACTTCCACCTCATACACCAAAAACTTACTTTCAGGGGACTCACCTGGCTCAATGATTTTGCCAGCTGGGTATTTCACCACAATCTGTCTGCCATCTAAGTGTTTCAATGTGAAATGGAACCCACAAAGTGCTTCAACAAGGCCAATCTTATGAGTCATGTGCAAGTCATTGCCCTCTCTTCTGTATGTCTGTAGAAAAAGGTCAAAAGCTTTAAATTTACTGCAAGAGAACACATAAAAATCAGCTGACTGATGCTTCAACAATAAGCCCCATCAGTGATAGTCTGTGAGGAAAAGGACAGAAGCTGTAGAGCAGTATGTTCATGACACACGTCACTGCAATCTGCTTCATCTCAGCAGTACGACAGGCAGATTGTCTTAACTGAAGCACTGGACAATTAGCTCTCTGAAGCAGGCTGGTATTTAAACTGGTCATCCAGCTAAAGTAGCTTTATAGATCACAAACTTTTCTTTTTTACATTGTTTTAAATGCAGTGCCCTGATGTTAATTACAAACACATGCACAATATTCTAAGGCTGTAATGTGTGAGAACTGTGTGAGATGAATCGATGCATCTCATTTACTCTCGTTTTGAATCATGGCAGTTCTTGCTCAGATTAATGAAAACGTATCACAAAAAAGACGACCACAAACATGAAGTGTTGGAATAGTTAAGTTTGTATTGTTTACAAATGTTTCTTAGTTATATTTTTAGATTGTGTGTAATTGTATTTATTTTAAATTTATATTTTACTTTTTGTATTAATACTATGTTAGGCACCTAGAGTCTGAAAGTAATGCAATTTCGATTCTTTGTGTCTTGTACATGTGGTTAAATTGACAAAGCTTACTTGGACTGGAGATGTATAAAATGGTGCTTTTTCATGGTGTTAAACGAAGATACCATAGAACAGTAACACTAATGCCATGCCTTAAAAGGAAAACCTCTAGTTAGTCTAGAACACATGGAATTCATAAAAAGTTGTTTAAAACAGAAGGGCTCAATGTTGCTGTAAAATAATGTGACAAAAAATGAAGTGTCGTTTCAGCGAACTTCATTCCTGATGCACATAACTGTAACAGCAGTTAAAAAGTTGAGAAACTGGAAAAAATAACTGACGTACTTCGATTAAAAAAAGAGGTCTTTGAAAAGAAATTGAGTAAATGGTGGACTATCCACTAATGACAATATAATTATCCAGAATCTAACAATTGTATAACTTAAGAGGTAATGCCTCAGGGAGAGAATAAGTTTGGCAATCTTTTATTTTATTTAATGACACTTTTATGTTAATGTGTGGAATACATGTATATATATAAATGCAAATACAAATAAAAAGTATAAAAAAGTTAAATGTCAGAGTGATGACGACATTTTAAATGTGTCATTTTCAGTTTCAGACCGTTTAAAGATCTTAAATAAAATTTGTTGAATTCAATGCTGGTAATATAATATACACACACACATACATACATACATACTAGGGTTGGGCATCTAAGCTATAATGCCGATCCGATACGCATCTCGATACAAAGAATACGATCCGATATATTAGCGATACATTTATGACATATTGCGATGCGACACGATACGATTCACACCCATATCACGATACGATGCGATATTTCAGCACTAACTAATTAAATCAAGTTTATGAGATTATGTAAAAGAGGATGCTGTGCCATTGAATGAGTTTGATTATTTATTAACCAAGCAAAACCAAGACTTTTTTTTACAAACTGGCTTTTCTCTCAGAGCCAGAGTGTCAGTTTACAGTAGAGGGCCATTTTAGAACCTATAGCACATATTATTTAAGTATTTTCAAGATAAACAGAATGTATAAGTGCAATATATATTAAAATGTATATATTTGCACTCTTTCAACATAAAGGTTTAGCATTGCACAACAAGAATTGTGATTTAACTTTTCAACTATGAAAACAAGTTTTACAAAGATATATTTTGCCACTGATTATTCAAAACTTAAGGTGGTGAACTAGCAGTGTTATGCTGCGTTGAAACATCACTGTCACTGTAAACAACAGGCTAATAAAAATATAACAAACCAGCAATCTTCTTGCTGTGAGGTGGTCAAACTACCCACTGTGCCACTGTGACACCCATTATTTTTATCATTATTATTGTTAATATTATTATTATAATTAAATAAAAATTAACAGGAGGAGGTGTTTAAAACCGCCTAGTGCGGCAGTATAGAGAGGGCGGCGTCCGCAACACCCAGTTATATCCGCGCATAGGGTGGCAGAATAGAGGTCCGCGACACCCGCGCGTCCTCAGTTTTATCCGCGCATAGGGCGGAAGAATAGAGGTCCGCGACACCCGCGCGTCCTCAGTTATATCCGCGCATAAGGCGGCAGAATAGAGGTCCGCGACACGTCACTTCATTTTCATAACCGGTCACTTTCGTTTTCACATTGGGGTTGAGGGCGGTGTGATCGTCCTCTGCCTAGAGCAGCAGTTCAGCTTGCTCAGCCCTGCAGATGAACAATGCAATAACATCCGTTATTGGCATAGAGCGCACAAAACTGTTGCGCATGTAAAAAAAACTTGCAATGCTTTTCTCACCACTTTTGGAGCTGGTAGCCGGGGATGTTGGAACACTGGAAGATGCTTTCACAACAACACCGTGGCGCCGTTTCAAGTGAGATTTCAGATTACTCGTACTGCCCGCGTATTTTACAGATGCGCGGCACATTTTGCAAATTGCATCTGTCCTGTCAAGTCGTCCATCCTTAAATCCATAATGTTGCCATACTTTAGATTTAAAACTCAGTGGGGAATAAAATGTTTGTTTTGCTTCTTGCGCTTTCTGAGGGCGCACCACTAGCTTCATCCGCACACCTGATACACTGAGTTGTAGTGTGTACACATCCGCAAATCCGTTGCTAAGGCTTACTTTATGTAGGTCGATTAAATTATGCGCCAAAAACAGGTTGACAACACTTGTTAATAAATAAAAAATACATTCTATATGAAAAAAATAAGCTGTATCTCGGAAAAACCGATGCATCTCGCAAAAACCGATGCATCTCGATTTGCTTCCAAAATTTCATTCATCCTCTGCTGCTCAACCGATGCACTCGCATCGTGCACGCGCATGGCCGCGTATCGATACATATCGATTAATCTTCCCATCCCTAATACATATATATATATATATATATATATATACATATATATATATATATATACATATATATATATATACATATATATATATATATATATATATATATATATATATATATATACATATATATACATATATATATATATATACATATATATATATATATATATACATATACATATACATATACATATACATATACATATACATATACATATATATATATATATATATATTGTAACAGACTTAAGTAAAGGTGTTATCTTGCATTTCTTCATGTTTAAAGATCATTTAATTTCTATTATTTGTGGGGGACTTTTATTTTGAAAAGAAATCCATTTTTCAGAGCAGAAAATAAATGAGAGAGCAGAATGTAAAGCGGACGTTTCATACCAGTTTAACTAGAGCTCGTACTGAAAAGGACTGTTTACAAGTTTAATCAGCAACCCCCCGAAAAGGCATAAGGTTTGTTTCATCATATATTGTTAGTGAGAAATACATATTTTGTGAAGATATTTAAGAATGCTGATGTATGTTTTTGTATTGTTTTGCTCAGCTCTTACGGTGATTTCAAGAGTAAAGGAATGTAAATAAAGCAACTTGAAACATCAGTAAAGTTTCGGCCATCATTCGGATGGGGTCTGCTACACATATATTTATATATACACATATATATATACACATATATACATATATATATACATATATATATATATATATATATATATATATATATATATATATATATATATATATATACACACACATATACACACATATATATATATACACATATTTATATATATATATATACACATATTTATATATATATATATATATATATATATATATATATATATATATATATATATATATATATATATATATATCAAATGTGGTTTCTGAAATATTGATAGTGCATTATTTTGTCATAGTTCTGTTACAAAACTTAAATTTAGAATTTTGTTTTTTCCCCATTTTGTTTTTGACAATATGAATTGTTAAAATGACACCATAAACAAACTTAATTTCAAATTTAATTCAAGCACCTTCAAGAACCTATGTTTGTTTTTAAGTACTTTCCAGACCTTGAATACATACGTCTGAAAATTAAGTACTTTTAAAAATTGTTGAAAAAGAATTTTCAAAAGGCAAAATATTAATACAAACTACATTAATTCACTATTGTTAAAAGTCGTAATATTTGCTTGACAGATAAAAACAGAAAAAAAGTTTTTTTGGCTATTCAGTAAGTTTGTGTGCAGACAACATTGTCAAAACCATTCCTGGACAAGCTGTTGTGCATGCCAATCTAGCAGTTGTCACTGTTACCTCATGCTCTTTCTCCTGCAGGACCAGAACAATGTCTCCAGGTTCTACTCCAGGCGACTGGTCAGCCTCTCCTCCAAAAGTGATCTTCTGTCCATGCTTCATGCCTTTATCAACATGCACTTCCAGAATCTTCACCTCTTTAATCACCTTCTTCCCCTCACACTTTTTGCAGCGATCCTTTTCACTGATCACCTCACCTAAAGCATGAAATAACATTCAGTAAATCCTTCTATAAAACAGACATGCATTTGAAAAATCGCACACCGCTTGAGTACATACTTCAAAAAAAACTAGGGTTGTGTTCTCTTTATTGCATGGATGGAATAATAACATTGTGTCCCATCAGCATCAGAAACCTACACATTACTTTGGGATAATGCAGGGCCAATACCTCCACTACTGGAGAAAGCGTAACGACCAATTTGAACACAAGTGCCTTTCATAACCAATTGCATTAAAGACTTGATATCTAATGACTGTTAATAGGGTATATGCACAGCTAGCGTTTTTCAGCCAATAATAAACTTCTGGTGAAAGCTGTGAAACCATAAAAAAATGGCCTTGTTTTAACTGGCAGAGGAATAACTTAAACAGTTGCGCTAAGGGTTACAGGCTTGCCTTTCTTAAAGTTTAGATGCAATTTTTAGAGCTTAATAATAATGACTGTCAAAGTACTTGAGTCTCTTACCTTCACCATTACAGTCAGTGCACACTGACTGCATCTGTTGGACCATGCCAGGACCGAGTTGTCTAATCATAATACGCATGCCACGCCCCCTGCAGGCTGTGCACTTCTGGACCGCACCAGACTTCCCACCTTGACTGGAGAGACAAGGGAAGAGGCTCAGATTGGGCAAAAAGGACTTTAATAGCAACAGTGCTTCATCTTTTCATGTACATTGGAATAATATTTTTTAAAGCAAAACTATAATAGATTTTGACCAATATTTACACAAGACCACCACCAAAACGTTAGATCTAGGTTACATCCAGACGGCACTCATAATTCGTTGGTCAGACAATCAAAAAGTATATTGTGGGGACAGCAGAAAAGTGGCAAGCATCTCCATTCTCACAAGGATATGGTTCGGAGGTCTCTCTTTCTTAAAAGTTCTCCAAGGTAACCTGACAAGACTGGTCTCCACAAGAATACAAGTCCTGTCTCTGCAATCTAAATCTATGTGTGGTTGCTTTGACACAATCTATATAGTAAAAGTGCTGCAGAAATAAAGATGAATTGAATTGAGAAACAGCCATACGCTGTAGTTTGTGTTGCAATTATCACAACAACATTGGAACAACCAAGAGAATGCCGAGTTCAGCTCAATTGGATTTAACAACTTAGTAACTCGTGAGACTCATAAAATACAGGACTGCATCAAAATGATTGGGTGTGGTAAAAGAAAGAGAAACAGAGACGCTCATCATTACAAAGATAATTTTCCTTAATAGTCATGAAAACACCCATAAAGTCAAAGAAATCTTACTCACCCATTACAAGTGCTACACAGAACATTCTTGCTCAGCTGTAATTTGGTTGTTTTTCCATTGTACAAGTCTTCAAGAGACACCCTATGGAAAAAAAGAAAGCTCTTCTAGAATATTCCAAGACGTGTTTTATCTGATGCAACACCAAATATCAACCTGACATATTTATAAAAAACAAACAAACAAAAAAACAGGAACAGGCAAAGGTCAAGGCGACCACTCAAGAGCAGACTACGGTCATCTCTAATAAAAGTGGAAGCATTGTGGTTTCACTTACTTTAGTGGGTGAACCATATCTTCCCCTCTCCGTCGCCCTCCATTCCTGCTCCTGCCTTGTCCACCCATGAAACCAAACAGACCACCGCCAAAGATGTGGGAAAAGATGTCATCCATCCCACCTCCACCACAGCCACCTTCTCGCAGACCCTGTTCCCCATAGCGGTCATACATATCCCTCTTCTCTGGATTTGTAAGAACTTCATATGCAAAGCTAATCTCTTTGAACTGTAAAAGAATAGATGATATTTCATTCAGAGCATACAGTTCCTGCCTTACAGTAATAAATACAGTACGTTTGATGATTAAGGCCTTCTTCAAAGTAGGGCTGAGCTTAAAAAAAAAGCATAAGTATTTATTGACCTATATACCACCAGTCGATAATGATATAAAGTATAAAAAAAAAATAGTTCGGTATGATGTTTTGTTATGAGGCAACCACAATTTAATAAATAATCAATATATATATATATATATATATATATATATATATATATATATATATATATATATATATATATATATATATATCAACTTTCCAGAATGCCACGTGCACACCACGACTAATTCAAGTAGAACTAACCAATCTGCTTCACACTTTACATGCAATATACACATTTCGGTAATAATGGCAGACTCAAACACAGAGCACCCAAACACTGCAGTGCTTTTTTCCATTTTCTTCATAAATACAAACTTGTTTGAAACCGCAGCAATGGTTTGTTAATTTGCCATTCTCTGAAAAAAAAAAAAAAAAAAAAAAGTTTTGTCGCCTAGTTGTAAGACGCCAGGGAAGCGCAAAGTGCATTGAAAATGTTGAAGAAAGCCAAATCGGTGCGCTCTTCACATGCTTTTAGACGCCACATGTGAACAGACTCTGGTTGGGTTTCACCCCCTCAGGTAAAATTACAAAAAACGTAAAAATGAGTGCCAAGACTAGCAGCAGTGAAACAATTGTAAATAAAATAGGATGCAAGGATGTCAACAGAGTGGCTTTTTGGTTTCTTCTCTTGTGCATCCAAGCCACTTGCTCCCCATCTGAAAGATTTTTTTTAGCATGGGGGTAATATAGTCATCCAACTTCACAATTTGTAATGTTGCAATGTGTATTTGAATAATGATGGTTTGTTTTTTTTACTTGAAAGTTCAGATTTGATTCCCATAATTTGTTTTGTTGACAGAGTTTGTTGTTTATTGTACGATTATTACAGACACCTTACAGATGTTGATCTACCCTAAAGTTTCATTGATTTTCCAGCGTTTACACTATCATTGCACACACATTTTATTCATCAAGTCTGAGGGCTTACTTACATTATGTACAGTTGCCTTGAACCAGGCCAAAGCACGCTCGGCCCCCTCTCCAGTCTCCCCTAATGGCCCGCACTCACATTACATTCGGGCCTGAGCACGCTTACATCATCGATGATGCGCTGGTCAGGACTCTCGCTCAACAAATGGAGATTTCTTTAGTTAAGTCCTTTGATATGCGGTGACCGCAGTCAAATATTTCGCTGAACAGATCAGTCGCTTTTGACGCACAAACAACTATAAAGTCCTTGTGCGCCAGTAATGAGGAGGTTTGGTGAAGGTGCGCAGCTGTCGTGCCTAGTGAGAGGTTTGAGTCTTTAAAAACCCACAACAGTTCGCGTTCATTTAACAGCAAGAATGATTAATAAATCCATATGAAACAGTCACGTCTGGCTTTCAGGTTTAGGCGCGTTTTGCACTCACAAGCGTACCATGCCAAAGCCCAAGTGAACAGCGCTTAGGCACACCTCTTCCAACCGGGCCAGGGCCGGCCCAGTAAACCGAGCCTGAGCCAGATTCAGCGCACTCACACCTCTAAAACGAAACAAGAAACGAGCCTGGGCATGGTTTGGATAGCTTAGTGAGAGCATGCCCTGAGTCTTTTTAGCATTTAACGATATTTTGTTATAAGACACAAGTTGTGTTATTTTATTTATTTTATTTTTTTGACCATTGAAAGTTTTTGCCTTAGTAATGTTAGTAAATTAAAATACAATGGCTAAATAAATAAAAAAATCATAATATTGCTAAATGGACTGCAATTATTGATTCCAAAATGATAATAAACATTATATTGTGAATTTTTGTTTTCCTGTATCGCCCAGCCCTACTTCAAAATAATATTGACATTACCCTAAGAAGTTTCTGAGTCTACATTACAAGTTTAACCCCACAAAATGTATATTTAAAATAAGACATTTAAAACAAAATACAGTACACTTGAGCTACTTGAAAATACAGTTTGTACAATTATAATTTAATAAAAGAAATTCACATGATCATTTACACATTTCAATGTCAACCAAAGTGCGAAACATGTTTTACAGTGACAACTTAAAATTCTACACATTTACTCACCATTCACATGTCACAAACCTATTTAACTTTTTTTTTAATAAAACAAATGCTGAACACCTGTGGCAATTCATTTCTAGAGTATTTATCTTTGCTACAATGAAGGTCAATAGTAAGAGGTTTCCAACATTTTTAAAAATATCTTATATTCAAGAAGAAAAGATAAGCTCATTAGGTATGGAACCACTTCTGGGGGGTACTTTTTTTTCTTTGACTATCCATTGAACACCAACTTCTTGTTTGTCATCTGAATATTGTGCTCTACAGTTGGCCAATGGAATTGATAAAATGTCCTTACCTTGTCTCCAGCATTTGGGTTTTTGTCAGGATGATATTCCTTTGCTAATTTGCGATAAGCCTGAAATGTAGAAATGGTTTTAGAAGATTAGTTTCACTTCAGAAAGCACGTAGCACAACAATACAACATTCCACAACCATCTCAATATCTCTTTTCAAAAGGGCAAAGCAAAACGAGTTACACCTGCCGAAATATCCTGGCAAATACACGTTTGAACAACCGAAAGACTTTAATGTGGATAAGCAGCAGCGCAGCCTTGAACGGATCAACTGATCAAAATAAAAAACACTACAAACTACGAAGTCATTGCTGCTACCGCTTGTTACTAATCTGATCATAACCGCAAGTTTAAGTTATCAGACGCAGACTGTATGTTTTACGCCGAAACGTTAGCTGAAACCTCTCTGTGTACTATGACTAAAAGTCTTCAACAAAGACAACAAAACGCCATTATATGTCAGTTTAGATGTAATGTTAGCTTGAAGTTAGTTGTACGGGTTTTTCGTGGCGTCATGACTCGCATGTAAAGGGAAAAGCCCAGAAGCAAGGCCTACACACCGGCCACACTGTGAGCTGATGCTAACTGTGTTTTTATCTATCAAACATAACGACTGCCTTTAGTTGTAAGATTCACGACTTTAATTAAACGATAAAGTTACATATAGACATGACTACATGAAGACACATCAAACTGTCTTGATTAAAATCCACAACATCACAGCATCTCATCGGTTTTGTCCGCGATCTGGTAACTATAGACACCGCTAGGCCAAACTCACGACGAGCTTTAGCTCAGTGCTAATCCTCCATTCGCTTCCTGTTTCGCATACAAAACCCGTCTAATTATCACCCTTAAACAAGCACCGAAGTGAAAGACGAGACTTAAAAAAACGTACCTTTTTTAATTCGTTCTCGGAGGCCGAAGGGGAGACCCCGAGAATGTCATATAGTTTGGTGTCGGCGACGTTGGACATGGCTGTGCGGAGTGAAGGACTGTCTGCGGGAAGCGGAGAGCTGAAGAGAGACACCGGCCGGAAGCGTCAACTTTAACCCCCGCACACGCGCCTCCTCTCGCGGCACAAACACATGTCAGTCACCACGGGGGAAATATCAACTCGCCAATTTTCTTTTAACGTACTTTTTAAACAATGCTGCTACATAAAGCAAAGCAGAGCATAATATATCTAAATAAAATCTGCGTATTCTGTATAATTCTGATCATGGGACATTTCCTTGTTGAGTGTCATAGATATATAACGTTACATGTATATCTAAGGTTGAGTGTTCGACATGTCAATGAACTCTGGCATGTTATTAACTGTGTGTGTGGGTTTTATTATTATTATGATATCTGCAGTTCAACTAATCGCAATAGCAAGGAATACATACTTTGAAGTCGGTAAGTTAAATTTAACACATTTAAAAATTAAGATATAAATAATACAACATATATGCAGTATCTAACGCGATTTAATATGTATATATTTTAAACTGTCGACATGTTCAGAAATATATATATATATATATATATATATATATATATATATATATATATATATATATATATATATATATATACATATATATATATATATATATATACATATATATATATATATATATATATATATATATATATATATATATATATATATATATATATATATATATATATATATATATATATATATATATATATATATATATATATATATATATATATATATATATATATATATATATATATATATATATATATATATATATATATATATATATATATATATATATATATATATATATATATATATATATATATATATATATATATATATATATATATATATATATATATATATATATATATATATATATATATATATATATATATATATATATATATATATATATATATATATATATATATATATATATATATATATATATATATATATATATATATATATATATATATATATATATATATATATATATATATATATATATATATATATATATATATATATATATATATATATATATATATATATATATATATATATATATATATATATATATATATATATATATATATATATATATATATATATATATATATATATATATATATATATATATATATATATATATATATATATATATATATATATATATATATATATATATATATATATATATATATATATATATATATATATATATATATATAATATATATATATATATATAATATATATATATATATATA